ATTCTTTATTATATTATTATATTTGATAATTGTAATTGTTCTCTAATTAATTTTTCTTCATTATAAATTAATATAATTAATATTTCAATCAATAAAATGATTAAATTTATTTTTATTCAATAATAAATAATTGAGTATTTATTATTGTATAAGTTCAAAAACATTTCTTTATATTCATTTTATCTCTTTTAATTCTCTTTTCATTTCAATCAAATATTGATATACAAAGTTAACAAAATGTCAGAAAATATTGAAATGAAACAACATATGATTCAATAAGTTCTGATAATTAATATTTGTATTCAATTAATAATTTATATTTTTATAACATTTTTATTTTTTGTGTTTTTGCTATTCTAAAAATAAATTATTCTATTTTTGGAAAATCTGATTGAAATAAAATAAATGATGTTTATTTCTAAATATTCTTTCTGTTTGTCATAACAGTGAAAATGAACTTATAATCATCATTTAATGAATGTACAAGAAGAGTTCTCAACTTCAATTGGAATTGATTTAGGACTTACATATTCTTCAGTTGCTTATTATGACATTATTAAAAATGAACCTATCATACTTCAAGATGAAATAGGAAAAGAACAAATAGTATCATATGTTAGTCTTTCACAATTAAATAATACTTGATTTGTTGTTGTAGGAAATTGGTTAAGTGTGATATTAATAATAAATGTATTATTTATGATAGTAAAAAATAATAGGAAGAGATGAAAGTGATGTTGATTATGAAGATTGGGAACGTTAGCCTTTTGAAGTAAAAACAAGAGATAATGAAAGTACTTGTATTGAATGTTATAATCCATTGAATCAAGAAAGTGAAGAATTTGAACCAGAAGAAATTAGTGGAATGATATTAAAATATTTGTATGAAATTGCACAAGCAAAACTTGGTAATCATCCAATATCAAATGTTATTGTTACTGTCCCAGCTGAATTCAATGATAGACAAAGAGAGGCAACATTATTAGCGTGTAAATTAGCAGGAATTAAGAATGTTGAACAATGAACCAATAGCAGTTATTATTGAATATAAAAGAGACTGTCCAAATTTTATTAAAAAATGGAGGTAAAATTGTAGTAATTGATTTTTGAAGAACATTAGATGTATCATGTTGTAAAATAGTAAATGATAGTGTTATTATCGAATCATCTGGATGAAATGAGAATTTAGGAGGAAATAATTTTGATAAAGTAATGAATGATATTATTAAAGAAAGAATAGAAAAAGTTATTCCAGGATATTATGAACAGAAACAAGGAATGACTCAAAAAGAAACAATATTCAACAAGAAATTAATTAAATTAAAGAAAGAATCTGAAAGAATTAAAATTAAATTAAGTAATAAAACTGATACTGAATTAGATTTAGAAGAATTATTATCTGATGATTATGGTGATGAATATGATATTGATACTATTATTACAAGAAAAGAATTTGAAGAAGAATGTTACAAAAGAGGAATATATGAAGAATTTATTAATAAAATAAAACAAGTTACTCAAAAAAAGGATGTAAAAAAGGAAATGTCCGATTAGTACTGTTAAATGGTGGAATATGTAAAATACCAAGAATCAGAAAAGAAGTTGCTAGTTTATTTGATAAACAAAGATTTGCTGATAAGAATTTTAATCCACTTACTGGAGTTGTAAAGGAGCAGCATATTTAGCATATTTAAAACGAGGAAATTATGCTCATGAAGTTATATATGATAATGTTCCAACACCAATTGGAATAGAAGAAGGAGGAAAATTTGAAATACTTATTAAAGAAGGAAAAACCTTCCGACAAATATAATTACAAAAAGGTATTCTACAACAAAACTCAATCAAACAACAATAGAATTTAATATTTATAAAAGACTTACTGAATATGTCAAATCTCATGAAATGGAATACATTACCACACTTCGTATTGATGGAATTCCTAATAGAAAAGCTAGAGAACAAACAATTGAATTTACAATTCAAATTAATGAAAAAAGAGTGATGAATATCATTAGTTTTGTTGTTAGACTGATATCAAAAAAGAAATGCATGTTAAAAATGATTTATCTAGAGAAGGTGATGAAATTACAAAATTAATAAAACATTTTCAAACATTTTATTAAATAAATAATTCTTAATTGATGTTTTATTTTGATAATAAACTGAATAATACAATGAAATAAATAAGAGAGAATAATATGTATAAAAGAAATAAAAAAAAGAAAAAATAACAAATGAAGAATATCAAATTGATTATCATTTATATATTATTTATCTTTCTATTTTGTTTATTATCTTTTAATTCATTTTATCATTATTTAATTATTTAAACAAAAAGGAGATGTTTAATTATTTAAATATTGTTAATATGGAGATTAAAGTTGATAATGAATAGATTATAAATATAAGTAGAAACGATAATATGAATGAATAGAAATTATTGATATAATGAATAAAAGAATAGCTATCTTTCTCAATACTTGCATATTTAACAACAACAAATCATGGTTAACACCATTGAATGTCACAAAGCACAAGTCTACAATAAATACTTTTATATTACACTCTCCTCTATTCAACAATATCTATCTTGGTATTAAACTCTTTTCTTATTTATCTGATTGACTTATTTTCTTTTTCACTTAAATAAACACAATATCACAAAATAAGAAATGCATATAAAAATAAGAAACAAAATAAAATTTAACCTCTAAACATCAAATTATATAATAACAAATGATAAAATAATAAACAAAGTATAAAATAGAAACAGAAAACAAAGAAATAATAAACAAAAATGAAATATAAATAAATAAAGTATAAATAATGATATTTACTTGTTTATTTATGTTTTCATTATTCTGAGAAGTTACATTATTATTGTTATTCATTACAACTCTCTGCATTATTATAATCTTTAGTTGATATGATATATTGTGAGTTTAAATCAATACAACAACTATCATAATATAATTAATACATAATATTTTTCATCTGTCTTATTTTTAATGTTATTATTATTGTTGTTATATCTATATCATTTTCTGTTTCTTTTAACTTTTGTTGATAATTTATGATAAATCAATCATTATGTATCACAATTTAAATATTTTCTATTTATCCAATATTCCTATTCAATAATTTGTAATATTTTATATTTATTTAAATAGTTGTTATTATATTTCAGTTTTATACATTAATTATATCATTAATTGTGTTTTATTTTGTTTATTATGTTGAATATATATGTCTTGATGCTTTTACATTTAATATTATCTCATGTTAATAAGTATTTGTTATGTGTAATTATAATTAAACAGTCTGTTGTTGTTATACAATAAAGTAGATGTCGTATATTTATATTTTCTATTTCTTTATGTTATTTCATGGTTATGAATTTAAATATTTCTTCATTTACATATATATATATTATCGATTTGTATATTCTTTGCCATTTTACATACTAGTAATGTATATGATATAGATGTTATATTATTTATACAATGGGTACATTATTTTGATTTTTTATTATGTGTTATATCTGGTTTTCTTGATCCTCCTTTCCTCAACAAGTCTCTCCTTTCTCTCTTCTATTACCCTCTTCTCCTCAGCAAATTCATTTTCATCATCATTTTCAATATTGTATATTTCTTATTTAAGTATTTATCATTTATTTCTTTTTGATTTAATTGTTTGTCATCTTCTTCAAGTGTCATACTGATAGTTTCTCCATTCTATTCATTTTTATTTTTTCTCTTGCAAGTAAGTACCATCTTCTCATTATTGTTGATTTTATTCTTTAATCTTAGTGTTCTTAATTTATTCTATTTCTTGTGGTGTAAGTATTTTAATTTCTTCTTTAAAAAACATTTTCAAATATTCTTGTTTTGTATTTCTATCATTTCTTTTCTTTTATTTATTATTTGTTGTTGTTTTTTATTATGGTATTGTTTATATCTATGTTGTGTTTTATTATGTGGTTTATTTTATAATATTGATTGTTTGTATTTGAATTATTGATAAAATACTTATAATGATGAAAATGAATGAAGTGATGAGTGAAACGATTCATACCATTATTATTATAACGGTTATGATAATTGTTATGGTGATAGATATTAATATGGTAATGATTAATGTGATGATTAATGTATTTCTGTCCATGCAGATAATACCTGTTTTCACTCATTCTTTTATCATTTATATTTCTTGATTGATATGGATTTCTCCTTCTTTTGTTATTGATTTTTTTATAATTTTTGTGGTGTTTCCTGTAATGCTTTGGTATTTTAGATAATTGAAAAAACAATAATTCATAAGAAATAAAACGTATTGAAACATTGAAACACTCACTTGTTAACATAATGAAAACCTAATTATTAAATAATTCATGTTTGACTTCTTTTTTTAGCGAACCTTCTTGTTTTTTAATTTAAAAAAGAACTATTATTTTTTTTATTTCTATGAATACAATGCCTTTGCCAAAAGAAGGGAAGGAATGTTTCTTAAGTGACTTTTGCAATATTGAAACTCCACAAGAGAAAGCTGCTGGAATCAATGGTATGTTTGAGTCTAAGAGTCAAACAACAAAAGTTATTGAAGAAGACAACCTCAGCGAAGAATTTACAACATCTGAGCCAAAGACCAGAGGCTGGTCTTTGAAGGTATTCCAAGGAGTGCCATGTCTCTATCAGATCTCCCAAGAAGATAGTGGTGGGTGTGTGGTGGAGTTGAAACAGCCCCAGTCAGAAAACTGTGGGTGAAGTGGCTTTAGTTATGAATAATAATAATTGAAGTATCTACTTCAAAGTGAGTTTTGTTAATATTTTTAATATTCCACTCTATACCACCTTGAGTATGGTTTTAAATTTGCTATCAACAAATCTAATTTCTAAAAAAGTATTCATGAGTTGAAATTAATAATATCTACTAACCTTTTCTTGCTAAACCAAATACATCTTTTTCTAGGTTCATATTTACTCTTCTTCTTTTAAAATTCAGTGTTTTCTATTTTATTTATTCAATACACTTTAATACCCTCTATTAATAACTTAATTTTTTTGTTCTCCTTCATTTTAAACTATTACTAGTCAACTTTCATTTACTTTTTGTTAATTTTCTCTATTACTTTGTTTGATTAATATTGTGTTTTGATTTATTAGACTCTCACCATTAACAAACTATGGCTCGTCAGTCTAAGACTTTAAACCTCTTTTTATAACATAGTATGTGAAAATAGTCATTTTAATTTATTGAACCAAACTGTGTTCCTTCTTTAAATTTGCAATTTTATATGAAAGAGGAAAGGTAATGAATTATTGAGAATGGTAGATTGGGTTAATTCTTTTTATAAATTGTTTTACATTAATTAATGATATTTAATTGTACCTCTGTCATCATTTCAATTACGTTTATTTTTTGTTATTTTGTTTATTAATACTTAAGAGTCATTAAATTATTGTTGATTAAGGTATAAATATATTTGTTATTTCATTGTAGTAACAACGTTATGATGCTTCTGATTGTTTGTTCATAATTTGGTAATTAATTAATACTATTTAAATAATAGAGGTATATGAAATTATTATTTTGTTTTGTTTAAATAAACTGATAAAGCAATTTCATAAAATTAAATGAAAATTGTCATTTTCAAATTATCTTGGAATTAGATTTTCTAATAATACATTAATTGAATACGTTTATTGATATAATGATGACAGAATTGGTTCAGTTATTACTTTAAATTAATGTATTAATTAATTTCAAAACATTTAATATGGGTTTCATAAATGAGTTTGAACAAAGGCAATAATAAAATAAATTTATAAAATATTTTGGTTTATACTATCATTTCGTTGAGTGTTAAATCTTTTCTATTACATGGGTAAATAATAATATTATTATATAAATTATGTTATCACTCTTTTTCATTTTAATCAAGAGAATTAATATAATAACGACAAAATTAAAAAATGAGTTTTTAAGAAATGAATACAAAAAAAGAAGAAATAAATTAAGTAAGAATAGAAATTGATTTTTTAAAAAGGAAATTAATAATTGGGAAATAAAAAAAAACAAGGAAGAAAAATCAATTGGAAAAAGAAAATAATAAAAAAGGAAGAAAAAAAAAAATAAATAATAATTTTAATTTAAAACGAACTTTTAAAAAAAATAATAAAATAAACAACAAGATATGAACTCATTAACATTGATGGAATTCTTTGATATTACATCAATCCAAAGTGAAAATGAAATGTATCAAATTAGAGTTAGAATAAAAGAAGGGTGTAGATGGAAAAAAGGATACAAGTTAGTATGTTGTGCAACAAAAAGGAAAAGTAATTTATATTCGGCTATAGTAATAATAAATGATAATCAAACAGAATACTTTTTTGATAAATTATTGCCAAATGGAATTTATGATTTTCATTTATTAAATATGAAAGATGAAAGGGTCAATGACATCAAATCTATTGAGCATTTTGTTATTGGGACTGAAATTGAAATCTTAACAGAAATAGATGATGAAAATGATATTTTAATAAAATTACAAGAACCTGCTACAAAAGATGATTTATATGGAGTTTATGTTGTTGAGCAAGAAGAAAGTAAAGAAAAATTTCTTATTGGAATGAAACAATTGGAAGTTATAGGAGAAGGTGTCATTGAAAGATACATTACTATTGATAAAACTTTATTAAAAAAAGGAATTAATTATGAGGTTAGAGTATTTAAAAGTAATTATAAAGTAAAATGGTCTTGGATTAATATTTTTAGTGATGAAGCATATATTTGTAGTGGTATCTCAAATACATTTCATTGTAATTGAAAAATATATGAAAACTATGTTTAATTAATTTTTGCTTTATCCTTCATCAATTATTCTTTTTTTTAAAATCGTTTTAAATAAATAATGATAAAGTAGTTACCAAAATGTTTGTGACAATACGATTTAATCTTTTCATTTATCTTATCAATGTTCTTCTTCTTTAAATCGTGGATTCTTTTTCTTTTTATTTAATAAACTCATTTACCTATTTAAATATTTTCCTTTTCACTTCAAAATATTAAAAAATAGTAATTAAAAACTATTTATTTAATAATAATAATTAAATAAAAATTAATAAATTAAGATTGAGTAGATCTTTTTTTTCTATTTCACTTTGGTCAGGTGAGATTACACCACTCACTCTCTAATGAATAATCTATTCATGAAGTACTTCTCTATATTCACTTCTATGATATCTATAATATTTCCTTAGGTGTTTTATGTTTTTAATTACTCTTTTATTATTCTTACCTATCCTTTATTAAATAATCTATTTATTGTTATTGGAATTAATTTTTTTATTAATTTGTTTTATTATTTTTCTTGAAGAATTATAATCAATTCAAATTTGTTAATGAATATCAGGTTTATCTTTTTGTCACTTAACATTATTAGTTTGTTTATTATTTTTATTTCTTTTATATTATATATAAATTATGTTTTATGAAATATTCATTTTTATTAATTATTTCTTGATTCAATAATGAATATATCATTTATTCTTTATTTTGATTATTTTTATTTAGTTATCATTTACCTTGAGTATTCTCATAGTGTTATTGATTAAAATTCTATTTGATTACTTTTATTCTTTTAGCGACTAATTTTCTTTTTTTAATACAAAGAGTATTAGTGCTAAATATGACAATTACCACTGAAATGACTATGGTACTATTCATAATGTTGGTTATAATTATAACCTTAAAAATATCTTTTAAATATATTTTTTTTTATGTTAAATTTGTTTTATATGATTTTCATGAGTTCCTTACTGTATAAATATATAAAATGAATTACAAAATAAATATAAATAAAGAAGAATAAAAGAAAAAATTGATATTAAAACCATATTTATAATAGTAAACAAATAAAATAATAAAAACATCATTAACTGATAATAAATTATAATCAAATCATTTATATTTCTATTTAACATATTAATATATTTAAAGTAATCAAATTGGTAAAGAATATAAGAAATAAAGATAATGAGAAATTAATTTAATATAAAATTCAGAAAAGAAGTAATAAAATATAAGACTATAATAATAAAATAAGATATAATCACTCTTATTCTTATTATTTATTATATTTGATTTGATATTTATATTGATTTTATCTTTGATATCATCATTCATTTCTCTTTTGTCAATTTTTCTTTCTATCAT